AGGAAGATTTTCATAGAGAATGCTGAAACTGGGGTGCTGGTGCCTGCCCTGGAGCTGGGGGCCAGCACTTCCTCGGTGAGAGACCTTGCCAGGTAGCTGCCACCTTCTGGCCTCATGCCGCCTGCTTCCCTGCAGTCTCACGACTCGGAGCTCAGTTCTTGGGTTCTGGGAGCAGGCCCCAGTGCTGTCTGCTGGCCTCAGGCCTTTGTCTCATCAGTGTCTAAGTGGTTACTCAGGGACTGAAGCCGGCTGTCCCTGTCACCTTGCGTGAGAGGGAGATGCTCCTGTCGCCCTCTGAGATGGCCAACTGCTCTCTGAGCTGCCCGGGGCTGCCAGCATGGCCGTGCAGGGTGTGAGACCCCAGGGGCACGCTGCTCCAGGAGGAATTCCCTGCTTTGGGCCCAATTCCAGAAGTGCCCAGGGCCACAGGGGCCTTGGCCTGTCGGTCCTCATTCTGAACTGGGAGCCCACTGCCCTGGGGCCCTCCCGTCCCAGGGCTTGGCTTGTGTTGGGCAGAGCCCCTCTGGGTCTGGGACGTGTGCCGTGTGAGGGGGCTCAGGCCCACAGGTAGCCTGCCGTGAGGACTCGTGGCGTGCTGCTGGCTGGCCGAGACTGCAGGGATCCCATGTCTACCCTGCCGGCCAGTGGCCCTGTTGGTGTGGATTTCAGATGGCCAAGGAGCTGTCGGGCTGTGGGGCAACATGCTGGGAGCTGCCCGAGGGGGGTCAGGTACAGGGGCCACTGTGCAGGGCAGTCTCCTGGGCCCTTCTTTGGGTCTTCGGTGGGCTGGGCGTGGCCGTCCCGTCCCATAGGCCTGTGGATCCAGAGCAGGAGTTGAGGGAAGAGGAACCTGGCGTTCCTTCTTGAAGCAGCAGTTTGAGAACCATCCTGCTTGACCTGAGCTCAGTGGGGAGGGCTGGGAGTGAATCCATGGAAGGAGCTGCCATGGATTCACTATTGCTTGTCCTGTGGCCCTGGGCTCTGCGAAGGCTCCTCTGCGCTGGACCTCAGCTGGGCAGCCCAGCCAGGCGAGGGTAAGGAGGACCAGGCTGCTGGGTGGGGGTGTCTCCATGCCGGTGGGTGATGGCAGAGGCCTGCATCTTGGGAGCCTCAACAGACCCAGGCCACCTGGGGAGCCCATCGGAGGTAGCTGAAAGGAAAGCCGGTGTGGTCAGCTCCTCCGCCCAGTCCTTTAGCCGTCCCAGGCTGGGCTCAACACGGCTGGATGTGGAGCTTCCTTCAGCCCCCATGTGGCTTCCCTGGTCTGATGCTGAGGCCGCCCCCGCAGGCTGCAGGTCTCTGGCGGCAGGGTGTGCAGCTCTGCAGGTGCGGGGGAAGCTGTCTGGTGTCTGAGACTGCCCAGGGCACCCTGCCTCACGCCCTGCCCCAGGGCCGCTTGGCTGTTTTCAGCCTGGTCGGAGCTCAGTGGGAGGGACTCTGCTCTGCCTGCCTAGCCCGCCTGCCACTCCACATGGCTCCTCCCCCCACTGAGCCCCCTCTGCCCTCCCCCAGGACTGCTGTCCCCACCCCGTGGGACTCGGTTCTGCCTCGCCCTGGAGTCCTGCCTGTGCCCTCTGGCAGCTGGGTCTGGGTGCCCATCCTCTCTCTCCTGGTCCAGGGCCTGTGCTGACCCCCTGGAGGGGTGCTCAGAAATAAGGCCCCCCTACTGCTCTCTGGGGACCTACACTGGTCCTGGGCATGGGCCTCATCCTGCAGGTGTCTGGCCAGAATGTGTCCTGAGAGCGGTGACGGAACGGCCACAGAGGGGCCGCGGTGCCCTTCACTGGGTTCCTGGCCACCCCAACCGCTGTGGGACCCTTCCCAGGACTGTCCTGGAGGCTCTAAGCAAGAGGGGGGCAGATGGCGCCATGGCTGTAAGCCGTAACCAATGGTCTGTATCCGCCATCACCTGGTGGGGCCGTGTGAGGCCCCGTGGGCAGCCAAAGACCTACCATGGATGGCAGGCCTCTTGGTGGCCAGCAGCCGCGCAGTCCCTTCCTCAGGAACAACAGGACAGCAGTGACAGTCCATACCCTGAGCAGCCACCTTCTGCAGGGCTAGAGTTACTGGAAAGGAGGTCCCTGAGAGGGAAGAAGTCACTGGGAGGGCCAGGTCACCTAGGAAGCCCAAGATCATCCCCGAGGCCCGTCATAGGCCCCACGGCAGAGGCTGATAGCCCTCCCTGACAATGGGGGTCAGGACCACATAGGCTGGGGGCATCTCAGTTCACAAGGAGCTCTGCAGAGGCTCCCACCGGCTCAAGCTCTTGTGGGGGGAAGAACAGGGGCAAGAGCTGAGAGGCCGCCACGCCAGCCCAGAGCGGCCACCGTGGGATGGGTGGGGTCCTGACTGCCGTGCACATAGGCTGCCACGCCAGCCCAGAGCAGCCGCCGTGGGATTCGGGGTGGGGGTCCTGGCCACTGCGTGCACACAGGCCGCCACGCCAGCCCGGAGCAGCTGCAATGGGATGGGTGGGGAGCCTGGTCCCTGCACACACAGGTCCTGCGTGGCCCGCCGGCTGCTGGCTATCAGAGGATGCCAGGTCCAGACCCCGCTGAGTGGTCTCAGCCGCTTTCTTGGAGGGAATGAACTGGAAGGCCGGGGCAGGCTGGGGAGCAGCCACTTGGGGGCCACCTCCTGGTCTGCTGCAGGGAGGGGTTTGGGTGAGCGGACAGTGCGATCCCCACTAAGTTCCCGATTAACAGCACAGCACCTTTAGGATTCGAACTCCTAGGGCAGCAGCTTGTCGCTAAGCACCCCACTGGCCAGTGAAGCGTTTCTTCTCGGTCCTACAATACTGCCAAGCTCTTGGGGCTTGGGGCAACCCCAGAAGAAGTTCTGGGAAGTGGCGGGCCCCCGGGCCCCTCGCAGACCCAGGAGCCTGGCCCAGCCTGTCCATCTCAGTTTACATTAGCGGCCCCTCCCCTTGCCTGGACGTCTGTGACAGCTGTTGGCTCTGGTGCCTGGTTAGTCATGGATACTATTTTTTTTTTTTTGTAATTTAAGGTTTTTGCTATGGGGTGAGGGTGCTCATCAGAGAGAGATGTTAAGACGGAAAGTGAGAAATCACCCCCTGGGAGATTGGCCACACCGCAATCCCTTCGGCTCCATTCTCTTCTTGGATTTGGGGGATGCATGTACATGTGCCTGGCATGAGTTTCAAGCCACTGGGTCTGGGACTCGAACCGCAGTCAACTACATGGGAGTCCAGTCATATAACCATTATGCCATCTGCCGGTCCCCAGTCTCTTAATTTTTACAGAATTTGCTAGGCGGCTTGTGCCGTCACTGGGGAAAGAGAGACAGTGCACACAGTGCACACCTCCTCTCCCTGAGGGTGGCCACACCGCAATCCCCTCCCCTCCATTCTGCGTACACACGTGCCCAGGGCATTTCCCAAGCCCCTGTGTATGGCACTTGAACCACAGGCGGCCGGGGATCCAGCCACACCAGCCCGGTGGCGCTGCCTCCAGTTTATAGGGATTAGAATACAGCACTGGCTGTTGCATGTCGGTTCTGCATGT